CTAGGCATGGACAGCGCCCTGGTTGCATGACTTTGTGTGTGTGTCTTTAACCTGAAAAAGCCTTAAAAACTCCCATTGTGAAAGAGTCAAACCATACAGACGTGTAGTGAGTGCGGTTTTCATGCCACAATCATGACTATACAAGATACGGGATTTTCTTTTTATCAAATTAAACCCGACCTCAAGGCCCTGTTCCACTAGGTGGGTAGAGATTTTTGTTTCTGTGAGTGCTTTTCCACATAGAGTAGCCCAAACCGAAATATCTGAGGGAACTCTCTGATATATGTCCATGCTGGTCACACAAATATGCCCGTGCTCAAGCACAAGGATTCTCTTGAATTGCATGTAAGCCCATCTTTTTCTTGCCAGGGTCCAGCCTCCCAAGGTCTACCCCTTTTGGGGCATGGGCTACAGATTCCCACAACTTGGCGCTCTTCCTCAGGACCCCCCACCCCTCAGATACCAGGGACCCTAACCCTTTGCCCCCACGCCACCCCCCACTGCTTTCTGCCTTCAGGATCCTCACGTCTCCTCAATGAGTTCAGTCTTTTGCGAAAGCCAGGAAGATAGGTCTTTAGCAACATTTGCTTAAGGCAAATGTGCCTGAGGCAGGCAAATAGAAGGTGAGGCTACCTTCTTAGAATGGGAAGAGGAAAAAGACAGAGTGAATGTAAATAGTTCTCATTCTTTTTTATTCTTCCACAACAGCAAAAAAAAAACAAACCCAATATCTTAATATATTATCCTATGATCGAAGGATTCACCGCAAAACACCGGAGCCTCTTTTCACCATCTCTTGTCTGGTTCCTCTTCCAAAGCTACCATGATCAGGATCTTGGTGTGCATTGTGTTGTTTTTAAAGTTAGCGATCACTAATCTGGGTGTAGACCTTTAATATGTAATAGAAGAAACCAGGTAGCAGGTACCGAACGGGCGGTGAAGATCAGTCACAGCCTGGGCGAGAGAGGGCCATAGCAGACAACTGAAATACCATGGGGTAAGTCTATGATTGGGAAATACAGGGTGCTGAGGCGGCCCAGAGGAGAGGCCTCTAACCTCTCCTGACAGAGCAACAAATGCCAAATGTGGGGCCATGAAACAGTTATTTCTGGAGCATGGGCTGCAAGGGAGGAAGGAGGTGTGGGAAGGGACGGTAAGCCTCCAGGCAGGCCATGAAGGGCCACGCCCGCGCCCGGAGCAGACAAAGCCTTTTAAGCTATGTTTAAAAGCACCGACTTTATTCCAAGAGCTGTAAGGAGCCTTTTAAGAGCTAATAGTGGAAGAGTGACATGCTCAAGTTAGCATTTTTGACCACTTTGGCTTCAGTACAGAGAACTGAGTGGGGTGAGGCGACCCCAGTTAAAAGATTATTTCAGTGAATTGGAAGAGCAGTGATGGTGACCTGAGTTAGGGTAACCATAGTGAGAATCGGGAAAGAGGACAGATAAGAGAAATATCGAGGAGACAGAACTGCTAGAATTTTTTGGTCATTGCACATTGGTGGTGGGGGTAGGGGCTGAAAAGGAGAGGAGGCAGGGGGATAACATCTGAAGACAGTCATTCCAATCCCTAAAACAGGGAGCGCTAGAGGAGTTTTGAGCGACAAAATGATTAGTTCCGTTTTGAACATGTGACATTGAGGCTTCTGCGGGCAGAAACGTCTAGGCTCTGCCTATTGGGCATATGAGTCTAGAACTCAAGAGAAATCTGGGCTGCACATCTGTAATTAACAGCCTCTATGTGGAAAACTACCACATGGCCATAGGATTGTCTGGGTCACCCAGGGACACCACGGAGAGTGAAAAGAGAGGAGGATCTAGGACAGAATGCTGGAAGACACCACTAATATATTAGGGACTCATGTTTGGGCCCTTATGCTTTAGGAACGTGGAATTAGAAAAGTAAAATTTCTTGGTCATGAGTTGAGGGAAGGTATCATGATGTCAAAATCCAATGGAAATTGTTCTCAATTGTGTTTGTTTGTTTTTTTAACCTATCTGATACTACACTTTTCATTTCTTCTGATTTTAGCTGCACACTCCTAGGCATGTTACTTAACCTCTTACTGCCTTTGTTTCCTCATCCTTAAAATGGAGACAATAATAGTTTCTGCCTCATAGGGCTATGAGGATGAAAAGAAGCACGAAAGTGCTCAAAACAATCAATGGCTCACTGTGTCCATTCAATAAATGTAAACTCTCATCAACATCATCATCAACAGTGGAGGGTTGACTATGTGGTTCATTTGGAGTTACGTGACTCCAGAGGATGGAGTCAGACAGAGCTGGGTTCTGATCTTAACTTCGAGCCTCAAGCTTCTTCCTCTTTGAATGGGGATCATCACACCTACCTCATAGTGAGATCACATCTAAAGGCCCTGGCACACCAGAGGCATTGACTAGTGGTTCATTTTCTCCCCTTCCCTCTTCCCTAGTCATTCAAGACTAGGGCAGCCTGGAGACACTGACACCAAGTTTTCCCCCTCCATCTCCTCAGAGGCATCCTTCATTGTATCACTATGGAGGCGGGGGTGGGGGCAGAGAGGTGGTTAAATATTTGCAAATCCTTCTCTAAACTGCTTTTCTCCAAAGTGACTTTCTCCCCTCTCCCAATTGACCCTCTGGTCAGTGAGAGATGTCTTGGTGTTATCTCAAGAAAGCTGGACCATGGGTAGCATGATGGGGTTGGGGAGGAGGGAATGGGTCAAGCCAAGCAGCCGACGTTTGTGGCTGCAACTTGTTCCTGAAGGAAGGTCTCATACCTGTTCTGTTCGAGCAGTTGACTTTTAACTCACCACACCAGACTGTCACTAGGGAGATCCTTCTCAAATGCAGTTCTGTGGTCTGGCTCTTGCTGACCTTTTCAGCCCAATCTCTTGCTTTCTCTTTCGCACCAGACCTACTTCCCACAGTCCCTCCCAGGCCTGTGACTGCCTCCACGCCTCGGCACCGGCTGCTTCCTCTGCCAGGAAGGCACTCGCCCCTGCAAACACATAGCTGTTCAGTCCCCAGGAAGCACCGGAGTGTCCCTGCCCTCCTGCATGGGATCGTTAGTCCTCCCTTCCCCCCCGCCCCCCGCCTTGTGCCCTTCCTTGGGCCGTCGCATGCACCTGCGTTATAACATCACAACACAATATGTTTGTGCACTAGTCATCGGAGCTTCTCTAAGGCAAGGGCCTGTCTGATTCATCCTCGACTCCTCAATGTTCTGTACAGTGCCTGGCACCAGGGGACTCTGGTTGGTAGAATGAAGAAATGAGTGCTGCATGGTTGGGCAGATGGGCAGACAGACAGACCAATGGAGCTTGTTGAGACAGGGGCTGCAGCTTCACTGAGGTGAGAGCACCCAGCCTGTGCCCCAGCCTTTTTCTGGCAGTGAGGGGTGTATAAGCTTTTCCCCCATATAAACCATGATCACTAGACTACACTAGTCCTTAAGTTCTAGGAGCATGAGTGGAACTCCCTCAAATCTCAACATCCCCTGCCCAAAGATTTTCATTCACAAGCATACAGTTCAAAGCAAGGTAGGGCCTAGTTATTGAGGGCCTACCATGTTCCAGGGACTGAGGTGGCACAGCCTTAAAGTGCTTTCAAAAAATGACTGTGCTGCCCTAGCAGGTTTGGCTCCGTGGATAGAACATTGGCCTGTGCACCTCATTGCAGGCTCTTCCCTGGCCCGTGCAGGAGGCAACCAATCTATTTGTTTCTCTCACATCGATATTTCTGTCTGTTTTTCCTTCTTTTCACTCTCTCTGAAAATCAATGGAAAAATGTCCTTGGGTCAGGATTAAAACACACACACACACACACACACACCAATGTCTGTGCTTTTATTTTATTTTGTGTGTGTGTGCTTTTAAATCGATCATTGACATTGTCATCTTCATAAATTCAAAGTTCCCTGGTTCCTCTGATGGTTCTTTCTGAAAGTCTTTTTGACAGCATTGGAGAGGGAAGAGAGGGCAGCTCCCTGGTAGGAAATCCCCTTTCTTGCCAGGACACATTGGGTTTCCACCATGAGGGAACCCCTGGTCCATAGGATGGTCCAGGGCCGGATAAATCATACTTTGTTCTCACAGCACTCTGGGAAAATTATATTCAAATGGGTATTTGACTCACTTTGAATGAGAAGAGAGTACATAGAAGGGCTGTCTCGTCCCTGTGACGAGGGATCCTTTGGTCTCTGTTTTCACCTTTGGGCCCACTTCCCCCTTGCTCATTGCTCAGCACCAGCAGGGCTGGAGGCCTTGGACTGGATCTCAGAGCCTTCAGAACCGATGGCTGAGCTGGCTCCGTCCCACTGCATCTTTCCTGGAGGACAGGATGAGCCCCTAGGAATTGTGCTGTTCAAGGGTTAAGTCTTAGCCAAGCCACACCCCCAAATAGTCTCTTCTCCCTGTCAGCACCCTGCTTAATCTCAGATGGTCACAGGCAGGGGCAAAGGGGGATGCTGAGGAGAGCAAGGCAGCACTGAGTGAGAAGACCCAAGCCCAGGAGAGATGGGACTTTATGAGGCAACAGCTGCCGGGGGAGGGCATCGCAAGGGGGCAGGAGACACCAGCAACACCCAGCACTGTCCCGGGCAGGGGCAAGGAGGGAAGGCAAGATCTGGAAGCACTGATATGCCTTAGTCTGGTGCTTGGGCAGGTAGAGAATTAGGAGGTGGGAGAGGCAGGGCTGGGGAAAGAGCCTTTTGCCTCTGACCTGTTTGGAAAACCAGGGCTTGAGGGTTGTTTGCGCTGCTTTGCAGCGGGCTCTTCAGTTAGGTCCCCCTTTTGGACGCTGCCCACTCCTAGCCCCCATCTCCATGTGTGCTTGGCCCTGGCAATGGCAATGGACATTTATTAGCTTACTATGAGGCAATCTAATGAGAATGCTCCCTCTCTCCTAGCACAGGGCCCTGCCTGCTACCTGCCTGGAACCATGGAGAAGTGCTTGGCTCTCCCAGCTTCCTCCTGTTCCCTAGAGCCTCCCTAACCTCTCCTCTCTCTCTCTCTACAGTCCCACCCCCTGTACCTGTGCAACGCCAGTGATGATGACAATCTGGAGCCTGGATTCATCAGCATCGTCAAGCTGGAGAGTCCCCAACGGGCCCCCCGCCCCTGCCTGTCACTGGCCAGCAAGGTAGATTCACACTGGACCCCACGTACACTCTGAGCGTTGCCCAGCTCCGGGCTGTGAGGCCCCTGTGCTCCCTGGCCCCTTGTCTCCTAAGTGTGCTGTGTGCCCAGTCTAGGCAGGTGTCCCTAAGCCAGGTCTGAGAGGGGTGGGAACTCAGGCCTCTGTCCTTTCCCACTACCCACCTATGAGCAGAGCCTTAAAAAATTTTTTTTAATTTTATTTATTTCAATGGATTTTTGAGAGAGAGACATCAATTTGTTATTCCACTTTATTTATGCACTCATTGGTTGATTCTTGTACATGCCCTAACCGGGCATCGAACTCGGAACCTTGGTGTATCAGGATGATGCTCTAACTAACTGAGCTGCCAGGCTAAGGCCATACCAGCAGAACCTTTCACTGTCACCTAGGGCATGTGCTCCACCCCATCTCCTCCCTCATCACCTGGAAGTTCCTGAGCCGCCGCCTCTGCCATCAGAGCAAACAGGCTTGGAGGGCTTTTCTGTCCATTGGAGCTGTTTGCTGAGCACCACAAATGACAGCAGGAACAGAAGCTGTTGCCCCACCTTCAGAGAGTTCCTGCTCTTCCTCCCAGATTGCAAACTGGTGGCCTCACATTTCCATGGGCACCACTGGCTGCAGCTGGCAGCAGCTGCAGCCTTTCCAGACGTGGGCTGTCTGGTTGTGTGCTCCCCGGTGGGGAGCAGGCCCTGGAAATGTTTGCATCCGTGACCCCCGCTTTAACATTCGTTACTGTTTTCTGTGCGCTTACCATGTGCCAGGCGGGATGTGGGACTGATTCTTATATATATGGTCTCATTTACTTTTCATAACAATCAGGAAAGCCAGACATTATTACCCGTAGTTGGCATATAAGGCGAGTGAGGATCAGAAGGTTTAAGTAACTTGCCAGGATGACACAGCTGGGAAGGGTGGAGCTGAGATGTGAACTGAGCCCTGTCCAGGTCTCAAACATGGGCTTTTACTCTCTCTGCTCTGTTGCCTCTCATTCTGGCTGGGAAAACCGAACACACGTGAAAAGATTCTCATGGGGACATAAGCCAGAGTGTGGTTAGATTGTGCGGCACAGTCATGTGGACTTGGGGGTTGAGGTCCTGCTCCCAGGCCCAGGTCCCTGGAGGATTTTCTGATCCTCCTTGAGGGCTGTTCCCTAAACCACATGGGGGCAGGGATGGGGGCAGGGTTCTAAACGTGGTGCCCACAGGTAGGTGAGGATGTCTCCCAGCCTGGCCATGTGGATGCAGAGAGGGCTCCTGGGGAGGTGAACGGGGACACCTGAAGGAGCTAGAGAGTGTGGTGCTCTGCTCGCTGTGAGGGTCCTTAGGCAGCAGGACTGTGTGAGGCTGAAGCTGCCCTGCTTCGGGCCATTTCATTGCCCTTGCTTTATGGGCGAATGTCCATTTATTCATTTGGTAGACAAGATGCTTGGTGCTAGGTAGTGATAATGTGAATGGAGATTGTGTGTGTGTGCGTGTGTGTGTGTGTGTGTGTGTGTGTGTGTGTATGTGTATGTGTATGGGGGGAGGGGGAGTAAGAGAGGGGCAGGAGGGCTCAGAGACGCTGGGCTGTTCCCCCAGAGCAGTGTGTGAGTTCACATGCCTGCGAATACTTGGCACCCTGTCAGGGCGTGTCCACTCGCTGGCTTCCCCCCCTCCCCCCCGCCCCCCTGCCACCCGGGAGCGGGAGGAGCACACTCATGTAGCAGAAGTGAGGCACAGACCCCGGGAGGCAGGGAACACGTGGTCAGTACTCTTGGAGCTACTGGACCTTGCTGGGCCTTTGTTTCCACCACCATAAAATGGGGCTTTTATTTCCCACCCCAGTGATTATTGTGAGTATGAAAATAGTGTATGTTAGGCAACAAATGGTGCTTGAGCTAAAACAAACAAACACAAATCTAGGGATTTAGGAGAAGCCCCTTGGCCACTCTCCTGTGACCTCATCTTTCACGGCCCCCTGCCCATGCTTTCTCCACCTCCTGCCCCCACTGCACTCTCCCGCGGCTTCTCACCTGACAGCTCCCCATCACTGGGTGGGCACCTCCT